GCATATGTGTGTGGCTTCCGACTAATAAAGCTATAGAAAGAGAAGAAGTGGGACTTGTGTGGAATGTTACCTTTCACAAACGTCAGACAATATTGCGAGAGGATATCAAATGTGTTTCAAACGGCAAATAAAGTGCAGTACAACAGCACAGCCCATGAGACTCTTCCGAGAAGGATTGGTTGGTTTCTTTTCTCATTTAATGTTCTGTCTCATAATTCTGGGTTGTAGTTGTAGAAAGCATACTTCTTCCCTTTTGCCTCTCATTTCTTCTACCAGAATTAGTCATAATCAAAAAGAATTTCTCTTGTGATCATAATTACAAAATGCAACTAAGGTAGAGAGTAGGCATGGGTCTTGCTTTCTGGAATAAAAGCTGCATTGGCTTTTTTTTTGTTTTGTTTTGTAATTTCTAGCAAATGAGGGTTGGATTTGATCAAGCAGAACCTTTGGCTTAGCCCATGTGTCATGCACCTATAGAGAAAAATCACCACTCTAACAAAAAAGTGATCGGTTCATCAGTATCCCATCTCTTGATAACTTAAGGAGTTTGATTACCAGGTGTCGCCTGTTGCTCCTGGGCACGGAGTGAGTTACTGCATATTTTTAAATGGCCTCAAATAACTTACGTAGATGTAAACTTACCCTCTATATACTCTGAATTGATGATTTAAAAATTTTTCCGGAACGAGCATCTGTACTTTGTCGCACTAGGTTTGTGCAGAAGCTCTCCTGTCCCTTGGTATAGACTTGGCGCTATTTCACGACCCTGCAAAGCTAGAAACTCACCTTTCAGTGAGAAACACGTTTTCTCATCGGTGCAGAAAGCCGCCGAACACGCCTGTGAAATTCATGGTGTCCTCCTTACTGCATCGTAAGCGTGCAGAGGTAAACTGCAAGGACGCAGCTCGTGACAGCTCTCACTTCCAGCCGAGAGGAGTTAATAATTGCGCAGGGGAGAGAGGGCAGGCAGGAGGGCTGGCTGTTTGCTGGGAGAGGGCACGGGCACCTCTAGCTCGCTTCTGTACATTGCAGTCGGCAGCAGGCGTAGGCTGGAGCACAGTGATCCTCTGTTTTGGAGGAAAAGACGTTTTTCAACAGCACGTTGCTGTACGTGACTTAGAAACGTGGCCCAGCAGTTGCAGAACAGAGGATGTGCTGGTCAGGACAACCCCAGCTACGCGACAAGGGGAGAGTTTTGTCCTTAATGTTGTATAATATAGATGTACACCCTGCAAATGATGACCATCATCAAGGAAAGCTGCCTGTACAGTCCATCAAAAACTGCAAAGCTAATGATGGGCTGGGCAGATAATCGTGGGAGAGTTAATTGTAAGGTTCGATATGGCATCTTGTCAGCAGAGATAAGTTGTCACGTTTTCCACTTGAGCTGAAACTAAATGATTGTAAAATAAGTTATGAGTGTCCTTGGGCCTGTCTGCCAGAATGATGGCTAAGAATACATTCCTGGCCCATCAGTCTCAAGCAGCCCGCTTGATATTTATGCGAACTGAATGTTATTTTATTCCCCCTCTAGTCATGCTTGTCAGCTTCCCGAGTGAAAAGTGAAACTGCTTCTTTGACTCATACTTCAAGTATTGAAGCTCGGAGAGGCTGCAGATTGTTATTATTATTACTAGTATTATATATTTTTTCGGGTGTGTGTTGAACATTGATGCCCGATTGGGAAGAACTAATGGCTGACATTGAACGTGCGGGATGGCTGCAAAACAGCCCATCCCAACCCAGTGAAACGCGTCTTATGAGTTCCAGTGCCTCTGTCAAAGCTGGTTTAGATGTGGAGTAATGAGGCGCTTGCTTTTTTAATTTGGCGTGCCTTTTTCCTTGCCTTTTTTTTTTTTTTTTTTTTTTTTAATATATATTTAATAGTGCCAGCAGTGGTCGTCTGTTCTCAGGCGTGGTAATTGATACAAAATAAAATGCATTATTTGTATTCAGTCAGGAGTATGAAATTGCATTCAACGGGCTGAAGCCTGAACTCATTTACAGTTTTCCGAAGCCGGGCTTTCAGGAGCCCTCTTTTCAATTTGAAGAATACCTTGTCAGGCAAGAGAAGTAGTGGGAAATGGGAAAGCACAGCGTGTAAGCCTAGCGCCTTTTGATTGCTCATATTTTAAACCAGGAGAATGTTAAATAACTTCCATCTTCAAAGGGTGGTCTCCGAAACCAGGAATACAGGGCATTAATACACCAACAATATCAGCTCGGCACCGTTTACGAGCGACTCGCGTTTCTTTTCTGGTTGAGGGGGAGGGAAAGCTTCGGGCTCTTCACTTCAGAGCCGTTTGACCCAAGGACGGCAGGTTATTACCTGGCAAGGGCTGCGGATCACGGGGATTTACCATAGGAGGTTAATTCTCCAGCTCTCCGACACCAGTAGTCGGACTTTACGTGTATAAGTGTCCTCATTTTTCAGAGCTCACAAGCAGCTTTTGTTGGTGCAATTTATAGCCTAGAAATTAGACTAAGCCGCAGTGAGTGTACAGATCTACCTTAACATTTTTTAACAAGGATCCTGCTGTAAAATATATTCTGTGGTTTTGCCTCGGGGCGTGGTTTCTTCATCATTTGACGGGTCCAGGGCGCTGGGGCTTGATGCTGCAGTCGCACTTGGAGGTGAACGCAGCCCTCGTACGCCTGCCTCGGGGACCAGAGTGCTTGGGCACGTGTCTTGGCATTCCAGATATTTGGAAACAAGCTTTTTGTGAGGCATGGGAGAGGGTAATAGACATGTTTTTCCCTGGATTTTTTTTTTTTTTCCCTCCCCTTGAGTAAAATGGGATAATTCTTTCTAAAGTGAGAGCTGAGAACGAGGCCTGTCCAAGTGACACTTGTCTCATAATTTCCGTGGGGAAAAAGTGAAGCGTATTGAAAAATTGTGCTAGATGTGAGCAAGCCTTCCTGGGTGGTGTGGTCTCTGGGATTTTTCCATGATATTTATGAATTTTCTGGATTTTTGCAAGCAACTGAAAATTAATGAGATGCATTTTTGGTGCCCCGTGGCAGAACTTGCTGCCACAGCCAGGCCCTTCCTGGCCAGTGCCTGGCCCTGCGGCTGGCCTGTCTCAACGTGGCAATTTTCATGTCATTGCTGCAAAGGAGGCTTTTGTGTGGTTGGTTGGTTGTTGTTTTTTTTTTTTTTTTTTTTTCTTCCTTCTTTTTAAGTACCCAGTGTAGGAAACAAAGAAATCTCAAAGTGGAAGTCAATATTTAGAACTAGCAGTAACCAACTTACATCCTTGGCCATGCCTCTGTATTGCCGGCATCCTCTTTTGCATCTCTTTCTCTTCTTCCAGTATGAAGGGAGTCAAAGATGTCTGTGTCCCCTTTGCCAAGAGCATGCTGAGCACTGGCATGGGTTCTTACCAGGTTTTGCCTTCCTCTTCACCTAGAGAGACAACAAGCCCTTGTAGGATAGCCACTTTAAGCATTTCTGGATCAAATGCTTAAAATCGCCTATACAGATATACAGTAAATGCATTCCCACGATTCCCTTTTGTGGTTAAATGCTTGATGATTGGTTTCAAAATAGTGGACATAGGGATAAGAAGAAAAATCCTTAATATTAAACGTATGTTTGATTTGGTCTCTATTGCCAGGCAATTAGCTACATAATTTATCCCCCACTAATAACTTGCAGCATAACTGTGCGGGTAATTAATAAGTAAACTTTATTAGGGAAAAAAAAAATTAACAAACAAACTGTTTCTTTATCAAATAGGCAGTTCTTTGGGCATTTAACTACTCAAAAAATCAAAAGTTGCTTTTGAAATAGTCTGACTTGATATTTTTCTGACATATTACTTCATCTTAAGTGTAATACCAGAATTGCACTTAAATGCCATGTGGTATCTAAGCAAGGTTCTGGGAACAGCTTCATTTTAAATGATAGCAAGCACATTACTTAAAAGTGTAGGGTGTTATGTTAAATTTTGTAATTAGAAAAACCCCAAAACCTAGAACTGCATTTAGCACTAATCCTAACCAAAAGATTATTTGCAATTAAACTAAAATCCTATTCCCAACATTGGGTAAAAATACTGGATAAAGGTTACAAGTATTTGAGATGTGAAAGGACCCAGATGGAGCGTGAAATTTCAAGTATGTCTTAATTTCCTAAACTTGTGCTAAATATTGCTGTTACACGTTTCTTGACTGAAAAAGAGAAGAACAACTCAAAGAGAAGGCATTCATTATTACCAGCCATTACATGGACCAGGGAATAAACTGTGGGTCTCTGCTTATGAGAGGGGGTGTCATCAACCTTTAATTTTGAGTTGGTTGAGCAAGCTAATTGGTGGGGGAGCGGAGAAAATGACTCTGTCATTAGTTCTTAAAATTGTTGTATGTTGTGCTACCACAGCTAATATGGTGGGAAACCAAACACACCGAACCTGGGATTATTTTTTTTCGTTGGGAGCAGGTAGTAAGTGGCCCTTTGTCACACAGTATTAATTGTACCAGGCATTCATGAGTTACTCACCTTGTTTTCCCATGTTTATTGCCATTGCCACCTTTTCTCTGTGTGTTGTCTTTATTATTAATGAAAGCAGATAGCATTCAGAGGATATTAAGATATCTCTGTTCCATTAGGTATTAGAACGTCCTAGTGTTACACATGTTAATTTGAGGATCCATAAGATCTTTGTAAGGAAGAGCAATTGGAAATAATGAAGTGATTTCCCATTGTTTTTTGTCAGTTCCAACTGGTCTGCTTCTAAAATTGATGCAGAGTCCTGGTGATTTAATCGGACTTGATTCAGAACTTCAGCCAAGTTGCTTTTTTGTACCTTTTTGAAAAAGTAATGGATATTGTTAGGAGACTCTGCTGTAGCCTTTGGAAGTCAATGAGCTCAAGGAGTTAGCTGCTAACAGACAGCAAGGGGTTATAGCTTGGATTCTAGCAATCATTAATTTAAATTATGCAGCATTTTAATTTTCCTCCATACTTTTTCCCACCCCCCTCCCCCCTGAAACTGCAGATACCGGGTTAGGAGATTCTGTGTGTTCAAGCCCAAGTATATCCAGTACGACGAGCCCCAAACTTGATCCACCTCCTTCACCTCACGCCAACAGAAAGAAACACCGCAGGAAGAAAAGCACGAGCAATTTCAAAGCCGATGGTATCTCGGGCACAGCTGAAGGTAAGCTTACTCCATGGTGGAAGTCTGAATTTTGAAAATATCATTCCAAAGAGCATTGTTAAGTACAACTCAGCTGCACCATTGGCTTTGCGTACAGAAGGTAAAGGGAATTGTAGTGAAGTAGAGGAATTAAAGACTGATATTTTAATGATGAAGCTGAATAATCTGAGGCATCACGATGGTGAATTAGACTGTCTGAAACATGTTTGGAACTAATTTTCCTAATAAATAAAAAAGTGTCCCCAAGTTAATGTGGAGCATCATTAGCCATAAAGGTAAGGTACAGGCATACTTATGAAGTAAAAAAGAAAGAAAAAGTCAGGTTCACTCAGTAGCCCATACATCTAAATCTCATGTCTTCTGCTTAGACACATCCTGAGCTCTGGCATCGCAAACACTTCTGATGCCTGTTGTTGTTTGAATATTCAGCTGCTCATGGAAAGATTGTGTTATTTGAGGATAAAAAGGAAAAGGGGAGAGTTTAAATGTTTGGGTTCTTTTTTAAGAACCAGAAAGGAAAAGCCAAAAAGAACTTCTTTTTTCCCTTAGTTTAGCTTACTATTTCCAACATGAACACTGTTCAATGCCCTTCTGAAGGGGTAACAATGTGTACAGTAGCCAGATATGATATAAAACATGCTTGTATCTTTAGAAAAGAAGAAAAGAAACATGCTAGGATTCAACCAAAAGAGCTCCAGAAAAAAAAGATGAACAAGGGTAGTTGGAAAGCTCAGAAACTGGGAAGTCAACATATAAGAAGAGATGAAAAATGGAAACAATGGAATAACATTGTTGGAAAAGGGGAGTGTTGAGTAAGAAAAAGATGTGGTTGTAAGCATTGGAGAGTAAAAAACAGCTAATTCAGTATCAAAGCGTGTTGGAACAAGTTCTGAAAAAAGGATGACAATTGCGGACAGCTGAAGAGACATTAAAAATAGATGTGATAATAGTATACAACTGAGAAGGGGCATGTTAACTACTACTTAGTCATCCTTATTTTCCATTTATTTAATTTCTCGATTGCACTTCTTTCACATACAGAATTTATTTCCCCAGCTATCTATACAAATCCTTTTTTAAAAGCCATCAGCTTTTTTTCATAATAGCTCCTGTTGCGTTCTCTTTCCAGTCATTTAACTATCTTTACTGTTAGTTTCCCCCTAGTTTATGGCCTGAAGCCAAATTTTATTTTAACCTTTTATTTTTAATTTGTCATATTTTTTTTTCTTTTTTTTTTTTTTAACAATCCCTTTTACACCACTTATTTTCATACCTCAATGGCAAGTTATAGAGGGGATTTTTCAGAGTGCTCACCATTGGTCGAAGACTATTTTGTTGAAGTCAATATGAATCAAGACCAGCTGGATATCAAGAGCCTTTGAAAATCTCTTTCTAAGTAGTTAATACGTGTATGTTTTCTTTCTCCTGGGGAGATTATTTTCACAAGTCACTGGAGCTGGAGCCTGTGTGGTCCTGGTCTGCAGGCACGGACTTCTGACCTGCAGCGAGCGATGCGGGATCTGCAGTTGTTGCGCATCCTGCCCCTGAAATCCCTGTTCTGACTGGAGTGGGGAGTATATGCTCCTTCATCCTTCTGTTTTCTCTTGCTCTTCTCCTTGTCTTCCAGCATCATAACATGCTGGCCTGAAATTCTTTTGCGATAACTCAACAAAATTGTTGGATATATGTGTGTGTATATATATGTTGGATTAAATATAAGTATAAATGGGATAGATATGCTTCCAGAAGGGCAAAATCTAGCTGGCAAGCAGCAACTAAGTAATACACAGGGAGCCTTCAAAGTAGTAGTGAGTGCCAACACTTCCTTTACAGTCTTGGTATCTCCACATTAGCCCATCAGGTTTCTTCGACCTGCCTCTTCTTACATGTCTTCTGAGGTGGGCACTCTTTTCTGACATGCGGTTCACAGTTGTGCCTTGGGTTGTGCCACAGTGTCTGTTAAAATCTTTATTTTTATTAGATCTCTTTTCAAGCACGGCCCAGTGAAAAGCAGCGATTAGCCACAAGAGCAGAATTGCAGCTTTCTACACCGCATTCTTGCCACATGTAAGGAGAATTCTGGGCATCCTTCAGCAGATAACTAATCTTACTGGCCCTTGAATCCTTAGCAAGGCTGGGAGGAGATGCCTGACAGGACAGTCAGCCTTGTCTGTCAGCGGTAGCTGAAGGAGAAAGCAATGAAGCATACTTGAGTTCCCTGTCTTTTTAGAAGAAGGGCATCTCAGAAAAAGCAATAATGATTGTAGATTCCCATTAAGTACTTTCTAGCAAGACTAACGAAGGCTGGGGGTTGCTTTTTCCAAATCCTGGCACGCGGGCTCTTGCAACCTTTGTCTGTATTTTCTGGTACTTGTGTTGGTGCAAACTAGAAGTTACGTTTTGTGTATTTTGTGGTTGACCAGACAGGTAGTGTTGATCTCTGAGCTTGCCGTGATGCTGAATGAGGGGAATAACTCCAGTCCTGGGACAACCTATGTCACGAGCCAGTCTGCTGCTCATGGGGTGTGTGCCTGAGATGCTTCAGGCTGTTGCGGGTTTTTCTCCAAGTAGTTGAATGTAGCATTTTCACATCTGTCTTGCAATTCAAAGCAGTTTGCAGTTCAATAATTCAGCCTTTCCCCGGGAATAGGCTTATTTCCTTGTTCTGCAGTGCTTGGCTACAAATCTGTCCAATGACCTAAAAGATTTCCTTTTCGATTCTTCTTCCTCTGCACTTGCCGTAAGCGTAGATTTAAACCCTCAGAGCATTACTGCAGTTTCAAAGACCGCAAATCCAAATTAAACAGTATAAGGAAGATGTTCTGAGAGATGCATGCTTTGCTGTGGCAACTTTGATCAAGTGTTTGAAATACGGCAGGTAACTTGCTGAAAATGGGGTAAGGAAGACTGTGGTGATAATTGTGGGAGAACCATATCTTCCTTCCTTCTGGAAATCTTGAGCTTACTGTGAAAAGGAGGAGGAGGATCCTCCTGCAGTAGCTATTCTCAGACAGTTACAATGGATCAGAGTTAAATGATTTGGGTAATTCTGGATTTTATGTTGCCTCCCTTTTTGGGTCCAGGCATGTTTCCAGTGTCAGCTTTCAAACAGAAACGCTGGGTTCCTTCATTTTTGTCTGTAGCAAAGTTTAGGTGTTCAATGAGGTTTAAATCTGGTCTTCAGCAAACTCTAGCATTTTTACTGCACTTTGCAGTCTTTTTTTTCTCCTTGAACGTGCCTGCTTTGATCATTGACCTCTGCCCAAGTATTCAGATATCACGATGATGGACACTAGTGAGCCCAGGGTGATTCACTAATTCCAAGGACTGATGCTCATCTTTTTTATGCCCTTCCATAAAGGTCATGCTGATTCTTCTTTCTCCACACTATCTGCACATGCACAGCCCTCTCTTTCTGGGATTGATTCTTTCATCTTACTTGGTTTATCTTTCTGTGGATTTTCTGAGACAATGGTTCCAGCAACAAAAATATTAAAGCAACTGCGCTGCAGTGGGATGACAATTAAAATTCAGTTCCTATTTTGGAAAACAAGGTTGTTGTGAAACTTTTCCAGTGCAGTGAAACCCAGAGACAAATTTTTTTAGTTCTCTGTACAGAACTTGTCACTGAAAAAATTTCTCAGTGTTTTTGAGGGTAACAGCAGGAATGCTTACATTAGGCAAGGTGCCAGCAACCAGCAGTGTTTTTCCCACCATGCTGTCTAAACTTGCTCGGAGCAGGATTGTACGGTGCTGTGTTTCAAAGAGGAGTAGCTGCTCAGAGCCCAGTCTGTTTTGGTATCCTTGTGCTGCTGCAGTTAGTGGAACAGCTAGTGATAACAGGAAGGTTTTTCAGCTTGAAAGCAAGTAGAAAAATTAAAAAACTTTCTCGGAAATACTCTTCACAGAAAGACCTTTCACAGTGTTTATTTTTCTTACTCTTGTTAGACCGTCTTAAAATTTCATGGCTGTGCCAGCTTGAACCTTCCTGCCCTCGATCCATCTCTGAGATTTTAGGAGCTGTAGAAGGCTCAAGGTATGGGCGTCTTTCAGCATCAAACCTGGATCATCCGTGCTCCGCAAATATTCCATTGACTAAAAGCTCTGGCCAACGGGGCCAGCATTTCTGTCTGCCTTGGGCCCAGTCCAGCTGCGTCCGGGCGGATGGGTGAATCCGCTCCTCTGGCCAGGGAGATGCAAGGCAGCTTCTCCCTGTGTTTTCTCTGTAAATCAGTCTTCCACGTTCTTCATCGCTGGTTTCTAAAGAACTTTTGAAGGACAATGAAGGACCTTTGATGTTTCTTTTTAGAACTGTTTTCTTAACACAGAGATATTTGTTCTCTGCCCCTTGTAAAGTAATTGCTTTTCCCTGTGCTCCTCTGATCTGTGCAGTCTAGCTCCTAAGTGTAGATGTATGCTTTCTGGCTTGTAGCTAAGGATGAACACCAGTTTACTGAGAAATTGCTTTTTTTTTTTTTTTCCTGGAGTGAACTGGTAAAGGTATTTCAAAAGCTTGTGTTCTTCACATGGGTGCTTTATAACACTGAAGTCATTCTTCTGTTCTGAATCTCAGGGAGCATTGAAGATGAGCTATAGTTAAGTTTGAAATTAAAATATGTTCATTTGTTTTCTGTGGGTGGAAAAACAGGGTTTAGTCAGACTTCTCATTCGTACTTGTAGCAATAAGCACAAATTTCACAGCTTTCATCTGGTTTCTCAGCTGCCTGGGGACTTGAGTCCAGGAGGGTGGGACAAGGTGCAAAAAGCCAAGGGAGTTGGCAGTTTCTTCCCAAGGCTTCTTGGCTTCTTTCAGCCATCCCAAAACCAGAATTATAAAGCAAATTAGGGAAATGCAGTTCTTAGCATCAGTCTCTGGAATCTGTAGAATACCTGAAAATTTGTATAAATTGGAAGCAATCCGGCTGTTAACTGAATGTGCAGTATATGATGCATGAAAAAAACTGTGTGCATTTTACCTGCAGCTTTTCACCCTAGCCTTT